AGGACATTTTTATATTCAGTCGGACGTCACAGAATAAAGAAAAGGTCTTTCCTTCAACTACAATTTAAGTTTATTTAAGTAGTACAAGTTTTGATATGGCCAGACAATATATTATTTATTATTGTAATTATACATTTTTCAATTAGTAATTAACTAATTAGTATATAAACTTTTAAAGTAGTACATTTTTATATTTAGTCGGACAGGAGTAAAGCGTATATTAAGATGGAAATTAATTTTGAGTGGATTGAATTTTTCAAGTAGTACAAGTTTATATTTAGTCGGGCGCCATGTAATGAATAAGGTTTCTACCTTGAAGTCGAGTAACCTTTAAGTAGTATAAGTTTTTGATGTAGTTAGACGCCATGGATTATATAAATTGAAGAGACTAATTTGTTTTTATAATAGTTAACTTTAAGTAGTGTAAGTTTATATTTAGCCCGACGCCATTGATTATATAAATTGAAGCTTAATTTGTTTTTTATAATATGGTTAACTTTAAGTAGTATAAGTTTATATTTAGCCCGACGTAATTGATTATAGAAATTTAAGATTAAATTATTTCTAATAATAGTTAACTAAAGTAATAAAGTAATTAAGTAGTATAAGTTTATGTTCAGTTAGACGCCATAGACTATATAAATAGAAGATTAAATTGTTTTTAACAATGGTTAACTTCAAGTAGTATAAGTTTATATTTAGTTAGACGCCATAGACTATTAATTGTTTTTAACAATGGTTAACTTTAAGTAGTATAAGTTTTTGATGTAGTCAGACGCCAAGAATTATATAAAATTATAGACTAAATTGTTTTTTAATTATGGTTAACTTTAAGTAGTATAAGTTTGTATTTAGTCAGACATATTATAGTCACACACTGGTTAGTGTTGAGAAAAGGTTTTAATTTTAACTTGTTGCAAATTTTCAAGTAGTACAAGTTTCCATTTAGTCGGACACGTCATAGAATAAAAAATTTTTTTCTTCGAGTGAAAATATTTTGTAAGTAGTGCAAGTTTTAATATAGTCAGACGCCATGGATTTATCACTTAATTTATTATTCTCAAAGCTAAACTATATAATTAGGGTAATCTTTAATTAGGGTAAACTCTAAGTAGTGTAAATTAATATTTAGTCGGACATAATGGTATAGTTAATAAGGAATTAGTTTGAAGTGGAGTAAATGTTTTAAGTAGTACAAGTTTATATTTAGTCAGACGCCATGAAAAAGACGCATTTATTCTCGAATGAAAATTAGTCTATTATATATTTTTAATTTTATTTTTAAGATATGTTTTATTATTTCAATTTAGTTTTAATTTAGAAAATAAAAAATTAAATATAATTAAATAAATTAAATAAATTAAATAAATTAAATAAATTAAATAAATTAAATAAATTAAATTTTATTAAATTTTTTTATTAAATTAATTAAATTAATTAAATTAATTATAGTAATCAAATCAGACTTAATTTTTCTTCAATGTGAAAATTTAAGTAGTACAAGTTTTAATATTGCCAGACGCCATAGATTTATTTCTTTATTACTATCAGTGTGAACTGTGTAATTTACAATTTAAATTCTGAAGCAAATATTTAAAAAATATTTTTTAGTTTTACTACAAAAGTATAGTAAAAGTTATTCCAATCGTTTTTTCGTGTTAAAGGAACATTTTCTCAAAAGTTTAAATTCATTTTTGTTTACTTTTTCTTAAAAATCGATTTTTTCATTTTCTAAAAGTGAAATTAAATTTTTTTTCGTAAATTTTGATAAAAAGTCGATTTTAAAATATAATTACAAAAAAAAATAATTGATTAAAGACTTGATTATAACTTTTTTCATTCTTTCAAAAATTGTATTTTATTAACTTAAGTACCTACCTACATTTTAATCTATAAAAAAATTCCTTAATATCATGGGTGTTTTCATTTGTTACCAAAAATAAATTCTCCTTTCGTAATAAATGTAATCGATGTTGAATATAAATTATTTACAGAAAAGTTAATTTTAGACGATTCTTTCGGGGTTTATTTATTTATTAATTTTTTTTTTTTGAGTTAATATTTCGATTTTATTTCTATTTTTTTGATCGAAAATTACTTCTTTTTCCATCGACTTCAAAAAGTTTATGTACCTATACGCAAATTAATTCATGAATTGTAATGAAATTAGATATTACATAAATGCAATGAGAGGATATTTTTTTCAAGCAAATATTCGAACAACAAACAAATTTTTAATTTTCCACTATAAAATATATTTGAAACGAATTTCAGTAAATTTTTTCCGTAAATTATTTCCCGTGAAAAAAATCAAAAATTTTAAAAAGAAAATTAACTCTAAATGCTACAAATTTGTTTAAATATCCGAGTTTTTGAAGAATTTTTATTGAAAATTAAAAAAAAATGTAATTTTAATTTTTAACGAAGAATCAAAATTGTTATTCAGAAAAAAATTTATGAAATAATGTTCCTAAAGTTCTGAAAGTTCAAATGAACGAATTTACTTCTTTTACAAATTAAATTTTTATTGCAATAATTTTTTTTTATTAATAAATGTTAATATAATTTGCCTCTGATTTAATTTTAATTTGTTTGGCAAAAGAAAATTAATTGCAGTGTTTCTAAATGTAAAATTTAAGTTTTATATTTTTCATTGCAATCAGTAATGTATAAAAATCATTTTTGATAAAAAATATTTCGTTCAACGTACAAAACTAGTGAATCAGTGGAAAAAAAATATTTGTCAGAAATTATCAAATGTTATATTTTTAACACTTTTTGAACATTTGAAATATTTTTTATGTATTTATTAGTTTATTTTGTTATTTAGAAAAATTAAGTTAATAAAGTTAAATCAATGTATTTAGAATTAATCAATTGATTTAGAATTAATTAATTGAATTAAAATTAATTAAAATTGAATATTAAAGTAAATATTTTGTGAAAAGGTATTTTTTAATATTAAATTGATAATTATTTCAATTTCATTACTTAAAATTTACTATTGTCATTAATGAAAATTTAATAACATTTAATGAAAATTAATTAAAATTAATTAAAATTTGAACGAAAATTCATAAATATTTTATCGAAATCACTTGAAACTATCAAATTGCAGTGAATTGATACCAAAAATATAGATCAAATCAAAATTTATCTAAATTTTTGCTTCTTTTCCAAATTTTTATCAAATTGCATCGAATTGATACCAAAAACGTTTATCAAATCAGAAATTGATAAAAAAAATCAAATCAAATTTTCTTTATCCAAAATATTGATTTGTTACCAATTTCGAATTGTAACCAAAAATTTATAGATTAAATTAAAATTGATCAAAATTTTAGGATTTTTTTCCAAATTTTTATCAAATTGCATCGAATTGATACAAAAAATATGAATAAAAAGAAAATTGATCCAAATTTTTGCTTCATTTTCAAATTTTTATCAAATTGCATCAAATCAGAAATTGATCAAAATTTTTGCTATAAAAAATATTGATTTGTTACTAATTTCGAATTGCGTTTCCAAAAATGTGGATCAAGTCAAAATTTATTCAAATTTTTCCATTTTTTCCCAAATTTCTATCAAATTGCATAATATATAGAATTGAAACAAAAAATATTGATTAAATCAAAATCGATCTAAATTTTTTTGTTTCTTTTCCAAATTTTTATCAAATTGCATCGAATTGATACCAAAAACGTTTATCAAATCAGAAATTGATCAAAATTTTTGCTGTAAAAAATATTGATTTGTTACGAATTTCAAATTGTTATCAAAAATATTGATCAAGTCAAAATTAATCCAAATTTTTGGATTTTTTTTCAAATTTTTATCGAATTATTAAAAAAAAAAAAAAAATAATAATATGGATAATAAGAAAATTGATCTAAATTTTTGCTATAAAAAATATTGGTTTGTTACTAATTTCGAATTACATTTCCAAAATTGTGGATCTAGTCAAAATTGATCTAAATTTTTTGATTTTTTTCCGAATTTCTATCAAATTGCATCGAATTGATACCAAAAAATATGGATAAAAAGAAAATCGATCCAAATTTTTTTTTCTTTTTTAAATTTTTATCAAATTGCATCGAATTGATACCAAAAAATGTGTCATCAAATTTTTGGGATCAAAATTTTTGTGATCAATTTGATCCATTTTTGATATCAAATTAATATTTTTTACACTTTTGCTAAAGATATCAAATTGAGACAAAAAAAACGAAAGCAACATTTTTGATTCGTTTTTTTTGTCTCAATTTGATATCCTTAGAAAAAATTGTCTTTTAAAATTGAAAAGGACCGTGAAATTAATTTAAAATCGTCTATTGTTCCAAATTTGCTTTTTATGTCTAAATCACAATATATATTTATAGAATGAAGTGAATATTATAAGTAAAAAAAAAAAAGAAAAAAAAATGTTTCACGAATGATTGGAGTCATGTCCCAGAAGATCTCTTAAAGGTATAGTATTGAAGGTCGCTTCTCATTTACGCCACGTTATTTTCGTTATAATTTTGACCCGCTATATGGTTCATTTATTTCCACCTTTTGTGTATTAAATATTTCGCATACAATCTGTATATTCGGTTATATGTATGTGTGTGTATATATATATAGAAAACGACAGGATATTACTTGCCCCGGGGGAGTCGTTTGCCCCAGAAATTTGTGACGTGGAAATAATTTGTTTTCAAACGTAAAACAAAATAAATAAATGCTTTTCTATTTTAAATTTATGTGAGTGTGTGTTTGTGTATGTGGGGGTAGATAGAAAATGGAATTTTTTTTTTTTTCGTTTTACCTTCAGTTATATTTGAAATGAGAAAATTGGAAATTTTATTCCAAAAAACCGAGAGAGAGAGAGAGAGAGAAAGAGAGTGACGAAGAATGTCTCGCGGATTTTTAGTGTTTTGGGCGTAAAATGAAAATGCAACCTTTCTTTTTTTTTTTTGATTTTTTTTTTGTTTTCGATTAAGGATGAGTGTCTGTCTTACCAGAGGTGGACGAGGAAGAGGGTTGGGAAGAGGTCCTCGCTGATAAAGGTGCTGCGCCGGAAGGAGGATGATCTGCTGTGGGAGGCGTAGGTGGTGAATTTGTCGAATTTCCACGAATCTCGCCAGCCTGCTTCAGCACCTGGTATATGGCGTCCACGTCTATCGATGATGTAGCGCACGAAATGAAAAAGCACACAAGCATCGTGGTACAGATGTTATATGAGATAATAACGAGAAAGGTGATTGTCTCTCTTCATTCTAACGCATCAGATTTTATTCAATTTTCTTATTAAATTTTTTTTTTATTTTTTTATTTTTTTTTCTTTTTACTCTTTTTTCGATTTTGAGGAAAAAATTAGTTTTTTTCTTCTTTTTTTTTATGTGAAACGATCAATTATTGATCATAGAATAAAAATAAGTGTTATTTTGATGATAATAATATAACTAGATTTTGGTGAATCAAATATAGTTTAATTTTTGTTTAAAAAAATGTTAAATTTTTTTTAATTAATCAATAATTAACTACAAATTTGTAATTAATTAAAATTGTAAAAATTAATTAATACAAATTTTTTTTCTCATTTTTTGTCTTCTCTTCTTTTGTTCTTCTCATTTTTTTGAAGGCCTTTAAAGGCCTTCAGTTAACTGTTAACTTAAAATTATCAAATTGCAATGAATTGATACCAAAAATGTGGATCAAATAAAAAAATTGATCCAAATTCTTGGCACCAATTTTATCCAGTAGTATCAATTTGATTCATTCAAGAAAACTGTTTGTTCAGTAAACTGAGAAATTTTTTTTTTTTAATTCAAAAATAGGTATAAATAAATAAAAGCGAATAAAAAAAGATCTCAGAGAAAATTGAAGGTTGTTTTATATAATAACTAATAAATAAATAAACAATAAACTAGGTTTTGTGTTATTATTTTTGAAATTAAAACGGGAAAAAAGAATAAAAAAAAATAAGAGTTGTTTATACAATAATAACCATATTTTAGTGTTAGAAGAGAAAAAAATTAGAATAGAAAGACAAAAGTTAAAAAAAAAATATCAGAAAAAAGTGTTGTTTTGACAATATAACTAGAGTTTCTGTTGGAAAGGAGAAATTAAAAATTTAAAAATTTAAATTTAAAACTAACAAAGAGATTTGGTGTTAAAGGAGAAAATAAAAATGTTTTAAATTAAAATACGAAAAAATGGATAAAAAAAGATTAGAGAAAAAAGTAATTGTTGCTTTTTAGACAATAATAACCAGATTAGGTGTCAGAAGAGAAAAAATAATACAGAAAAACAAAGGAATAAAAAAATGATTACAGAAAACAAAAGTTTAGACAAAATTGGTTTTTTTAGAAAAAGAAAATTAAAATAGAAAAAGAAAGGAATAAAAAAACAAAAACTACGAAATATCTAGTTTCCAGTGTCTGAAAAACATTAAATCCTCCTTGAATTTATTTTTTGCTGTTTTCAAATTTTGAAATTTTTGAAGTCATCATGAATTGTACAGCAAATTCTTAATTTTTTTTATTTTAGATTTAGACAATAATTAAAATTTTAAACGTAACTACTTTATGTGAATTTTTTTTTTATTATTTAGGAAATAATAAAATTTATTTTTGAATAATTGAATTCTCGAAGAATTTTCTCGAAATTATTACGAAAATATAATTTAGTTAGGAAAGAATTTGAATTTAAAAATCCAAAAATATAATTTTATATTAAAAAACAATTTTTACAATTTTTAGTAAAAATAATTTCAATTATTTCATAATTGAAATTTTAAATAATTGAATTTTCATTTATGTTTTTTTAAAGGCGGTTGAATTTTTTTTCAATTATATCCATTAAAAAATTATCGAATAATTATAATTTCGTAAAATTTTAATGTAAATAGTTGAATATTTTAATAAAGAATTTTACTAAATTGCCTGTATTGAAAATAATTGAATTTTTGAAGAATCGCAAATTTAAAAATTAATAAATAAGTTTCAGTTCAAATTGCATTTAAGAAATAATTGAATTTTTGAAGAATTGCATTTTAAAAATTAATATTATAATTAATATTAATATAATAATTATAAAAATATAATAATTATAAATTATTATATTTTTAAAAATTAATATTTCAATTCAAAATTGGATTTAAAAAAATTCAAAAATTTGTAATAATTTGGTTTTTTGAAAAATTTAAATTCAATCTTTCAAAGTTAATTGAATTTTAGAAAATAATTGTAATTTGCAAATTTTTCAGACAAGTTAGATAAATTCCTAAAACTATTTTGAAAATTAATTAAAATTTTGAAGAATTTTATTAAAAATTTTCAATTTAACTCAATATTTAAGAGGATTTTAATTTTAAAAAAATTAATAAATAATTGAATTAAAAACAAAAAGTTTTTTGAAAGAAAAAAAATTATTTTTTTTTTAGATATTTAAAAATATTCGAATATTTGGAGAATTTTAATTAAAATTTTCTAAAATAATTGAAAATTTCGTAAAATTGTATCGAAAATAATTAAATTCAAAAAAATTGTTGTAGATATTTTTAAATATTCAAGTTTTTGGAGAATTTTATAATTGAAAATTTTTAAAATAATTGAAAAATTGCGTAAAATTCTATCGAAAAGAATTAAATTTTTAAAAAAATTGTTGCAAATATTTTTAAATATTCGTAATTTTGAAGAATTTTAATTGAATTTTTTTTAAATAATTTAAAAGTTTGTAAAATTATATCGAAAAGATTTGAGTTATTGTTAAAGAATTTGTTAATTTTAGAAACTATTCGAGTTTTTGAAAAATTTTAATTAAATATTTTTAAGAAAATCGAATTTAAACGAAGAATGAAAATTGATTTGTAAATCAGAAAATAATTGAAAATAATTGAAAAATATTTTACGGAATTCAGTTATTTTCACTTATTTTGTTATTTAAAAATCAATTTTGATTCTTCGTTAAAATTCAGTTTTCTCAAAAAGTTTTAATCAAAATTCTCCAAAAACTAAATAAAGTATCAAATTTTATATTTTTCACACTTTGAACAATTGAAATCTTCTTTGTGTATTTATTAATTTATTTTGTTATTGAAATAAATTAAATTAAATTATTTAAATTGAAATTAAATATTAATTAAAATTGAACAGTTATTTAGTGTATTTATTAATATTTAATTGATAATTAATTGAAATTTATCATTGCCATTGAGTATAATGATTGAAAATTGCAGAATAAAGCACGATACGATTTTTAAGTTATTTGTTTCTAATTAAAATAATGTTGTTTAAAACTCTAATTTTAATTAATTAATTTTAATTTTTTTTAAATTTTATAAATTATGTTGTTTAAAACTAATTTTTTTTTAATAAAACGCAACAAATTTATAACACTTACTTTTTTTTCTACGATCAGGAATATTTCACATTAAAAATTTCAAAACCAAAAAAACCCTTAATTTTTCCTCTCTAACCTAATTAAATTACCATAATAAAAAAACAGCCTTTTTCCAAATTGAAAAGTAAAAAAAAAAAATATCTGCGATGTTTTCTAATTGAAAACACTATAATATAAAAATTTATAATTTAATTATAAATTATTTTATATAATATAAAAAATTGTTTCACTCCAACATGACAAGAATGAAAAATAATGAAGAAAAAAGAACCTTTCAATGAAATTATAGAAATAATAAAAAAAAAATGACAAAGAAAGATAAAAAAATTAAAAATCGAGATAAAATTATTTGATCAAACAACTTTCTCGACGTACCTCAGGATAATTAAGCCGATGAGGGTAATTGGGCTGGGGCAGTGAGAGGGGGGATGAGAGAATGATACGTACGAATGACAATATAATGATGAGAGCAGAAAGAAAAAAAAAACAAGTGAATCGATTTGAAAAAGGCGACAGGAGCAATCGATTAGGTTTTTAGTGATTAATTATTGTCATCACGCTTTTTAAAGACCAGCATATATATATACTTATATATTGTTATTAAATAAAAAAAAAAAAAAAAAAAAAAAAAAAATGAAAATAAAAGAAGGTTCTTAGACCCGATACATTGTTATCGCGAATCTTCTTTTTTTTCACTACATAATATATAAAAGAACAGAAGAGTCTATTCAAGAGGTAAAATTCTTGATTGATCGAGGTCCTCGGTGGTTTAGAAGTTCCAGCATCTCATCTTAAATGATTGAATACTCTCTTCCTTTTTAACCGCAAAAATAAAAAAACGATTTGGGTGTAATAAAATTTTCATATATAAAAAGGTGTGAGATGAAAGATTTTTCTTTTATTTTTATGCAGTACTTGAAAAAAATTGGTAAATTTTTGAAAAATTACTTTTCTATTTGTATTGATAATTGATATTAATACTTCCTCATTCTAAGATGAAATGAACTTTGCGGTTCTACAGTCACTTATTTTACACTCTAGCAATTGCGCTTATACTGCATTTTTATTATTCAATATACTAAAGAGAAAGTACAAAAAAAAGAAAAGAATAAATTTTTTACCCAAATTTTTATGATGAGAAGCTTCCATTTGAGGAATTATTATTTATACTTACTTGATTTTTCGCATTGAATATCAGAAAAAAGTTTTCTAAACTTTGTACAATTTTAATTAAATTTAATTGTAAATTTTCTTTTTGGAAAATTAATTTATTAATTTGAGAATTTTTTTCTATTTTCTGGGTCAGAAATCATTAACGAAATGGGAAATAGGAAAAAAAATTAGTTTTAGAAGAATATGAAATAAATAAATAAATCGATGGATAAATAAATAATAAAACGATAAATAAATTAATAACTAATTAGATAAACAAATAGGTAAAGAAGCATAAATAAATTAGTGAATAATATACTTAAATAAATTTATTTATTCTTATAAACGGGCTTACAAAAGAAAAAATTGCCCTTTCGTACCTAAGTAAATAATAAATATAAATAAATTAATTAATTAATAAATAAACAAATTATAATTAATAAACTAAAAACTAAATAAGTAACGAAATAAATAAATTTATAAACAACGGGATGAATAAATGACATTAGTGAACAAATAAGTAGCTAAATTAATAAATAAATAAGTAAAAAACCAATAAATAAATAAATAAACTAATAAATAAAACAATAAATAAATTAATCAATAATTGGATAAATAAATAGGTACAGAAACATAAATAAATTAGTAAATAACAAATTTGGGGAAATAAATTAGTAAATAACAAATTTGGAGAAATAAATTAGTAAATAACAAATTTGGTGAAATAAATAAACAAATTACTAAATTAAAAATAAAATAAATAAGAAATGAATAAAGTAAATAAAAAGATAAATAAATAACTAAATAAATAAATAGATGGATAAATGAAAACGTAAATAAATTAATAAGTAAACAAATTTTGAAATTGGAAGCAATAAATAACGAAATAAATTTATAAATAAAGGGATAAATAAATAACTAAATGAAAAAATAATAAATAAATAACATATTCATTATTATTAATCTAGATTAATAATAATTAATTATAATTTGACAAGTTGCTTAATTGATTAATAAATAAATGAATATTTAAATAAATAAAAAAGGAAATAAATAAATAAAATAAATAAATAAATAACAAAAATAAATAAATAAATAGATAATTAAATGAGAGAACAAGAAACTAAATTAACAAATAGTTAAAATGAGGAATAAATGGATAACCAAGTTATTAAATAAACAAACAAATAACTATGTTAATAAATAAACAAATAGCAAAATAAATAAAAAACTATATTTGCATATAAACAATTGAATAAATTATTAAATAAATTAATAGAAAAACAAATTAATATTAAAAGTGAATAAATAAATTAAAAAAAATTGCTATTTAAATAAAGAAATAATTGAATATTGGGAAATAATAATTAAATAAATAAACAAGTAAACAAATATCTAAATAAATAAATAAAAAGAATCTAAATTATTTACAAATAAAATAATGAATGAATTATTAAATAAGTTAATAAACGAACAAAGAAATCACGAAATTTATTAATAAATAAATAAACAAATAAGTAAAAAAACATCAAAATAACTAAATAATATTTATTTTCAGTTTAGTTTTTTATTTATTTATTTATTTATTTAGTTTAGAATTACAAATTTATGAATTTAAAAATACTTATTTATTTATTATTTAAATACATTATTTATTTCTTGAACAGGCTAAAAACCATTAAATACAGAAAAAAAATCAATAAATTGTGGAATTAAATAACAAAACAAATAGTAAACAATAAATAATTGAATAAATAAACAAATTTCCAAACAACAAAAAAATAAATAAATAAAAGACAAAACGTAAATAAATTAAAAAATGGAATAAATCAATTGAGCCGAAAAAGATTAGCAATCGGCTTCTAAGACGAAGAGTAATAAAAAAAAGGACTTTACGTTTTAATTAACAGGATTAGTTGAAAGAATGATAAAATAAATTAAGGAGAAAATTAAACTGACAATGAGCGGTAGTTTAAATTCCATTCAAGTAGATAAGGTCACTCTTAATCAGACGTCTGCTTTCGTTTGACGGTATCTGTCTTAATCTACTGAAATGCTTTCCTCGTTACGTGCTTTTTTGGCGTATTATCTCCTCTTCAAGAATAAAACAATTTTCGCATTTTTTTTTCGCTATAATTGTTTATTGCAAGTAACAGAGAAAAAAAAACAATTGCGTCGAAAATAAAAAAAAAGAAATTAATTTCCACGAAGAAAAAAGTAAATTAATCTATTTTATTTTTATTATTTATTTATTTATTTTCCAACGGGATAATTTTATTTTTTTCTTCTATTTTTTATTGCTTTATTATGTTTATTTATTTTAATTAATTAATTAATTCATTCATTCATTCATTTATTTATGCATTCATTCGTTCATTCATTCATTCATTCATTTATTCATTCATCCATTCATTCATTCACTAATTAATTAATTCATTCATTAATTCATTCATTCATTCATTCGTTAATTAAATGATTAATTAAAAAGTAAATTAAATTAACTAATAGTGAATAAAAAAAAAGTTTTACTATTAAAAAGTGTTTAATAAGAAAAATAATAATAGGAAAGAAATAATAATATAATATTGATAATTATTATTATCATTTTATTTATATTTATCTACATTTATTTATTTAATAAACAGTGGCATAATAATAATAATAATAATAATAATAATAATGTCAATAAGAATTATGTATATTAAAAAAATTATTGTAATAAATTATTATTAATAAAATTTAATAATAATTAATATTATAATGCCACTGATTTTTAAATAAATAAAAGAATAGTAAATAATAATAAAATAATAAAACGAAGATTAGTTAAATTTTCATTTTTGTAATTATTCTTTTATGGAAGAGCGTTTTATGTTTTGTAAGTTCGTTGATACTAAATAAATTTATTTTATTTATTTATTAAATTAATAAATAAATTTATTTTATTTATTTATTAAATTAATAAATAAATAATAATATTAAAATAGTAATAAATAGAAAATAGTAAATAAACAGAAAATAGGGAATAAATAATAATAAATACACTTCAAACAAACAAAAAAAGAGAATCAGATATAAGACAAAGAGAAAACATTTTGTTTATTAAAAATGTGTAATAATAATAATAATAATAATAATAATAATAATAATAATAATAATAATAATAATAATAATAATAATAATAATAATAATAATAATAATAATAATAATAATAATAATAAAATTGTTTATTAAATAAATAAAAAAATAGAAAATAGAAAAAGAAAAAAAAAGAAAACACAAAGTAATAATAAAAAAAGCAACTTTATTTTATTGACATTAAATAAAGAAGAGAGTCGCAAAAATAATTCTTCTTCTAATATTCTTGCAGGTTTTTTTTAAAAAAAGAAAATTAATTAATTAATTTATTATTAAAAATTTCAATTTTTTTCAAGGAAAGAAAAATTCCTTTTTCAAAGGAATTCAAAAGGAAGCTTCTCATCCTACAGGAGTTTAATATACACAGCGATCACCGAAAGCCTCGATCCTAATTGCGTACAATTTTTTTTTCAGTTATTTTTTGCAATTAATAAAATAAATGAAAAAAAAATGAAATGGAAATTTTTTTTGTTCTTTTTACTGATGCATAAATATATTAATTTTGTAAATAGAAGAAGTTAGAGAGAGAATAAAAAAAGACTCACTGTGTTCAGAGGATGGGGTCTCATCGGTGGGTGGCGCGGTTTGTTTTTGCCTTCGAAGCAGTGGAATTCCTCCGCCACGTTTTGACGTCAAACTTGGACAATTAGCGGGTTGTATGGAACTGGTGCAATCGGCGTGTGCATTCGCCTTGCATCCACGGCACCTGAAGCCCTGTCGACTGTGTCCACGTAACACTTGACCGCATGCATCGCACGGTGTTATCTTTCGATATGTGTATTCCCGCCACATGTGTCCGCCTTCGGATTCTAAGTTTTTTCTACAAAAAAAAGAAAAAGAAAGAAATAATTTTTATTTTTCTATTTTCTACTTTTTTCTTTTCTATTTTTTTATTTTCTATCTCCTATTTTCTCCTCTTTTCTTTTCTATTATTTTATTTAAGTTTATAAATATTTCCTTATTTTCCTTTAGGTTTCTATTTTATTTCCTTTTCTCTAATTTTCTTCTTTTAGTTTTCTTTTACTAGTTTTCGTATTTTTTTGTTTTTTATTCTTCAAGTTTTTTATTTTTGAAAAAAATATTTTTTTTATTTTCTATTCTTCTAGTTTTGTTTTTTAAAAAAATTTTTTTTTGTTTTTTATTCTTCAAGTTTTTTATTTTTCAATTTTCTACTTCATAATTTTTTTAATCTTTATTAGTTTTTAAATTTTTTTTTTATTTCTGTGTGAACTTTTATTTTTGTAGTATTTTTTTATTATTTTATTATTTTATTTTTTTTTATCTTTTTTATTATAGCTTCGTTTATATTTTATTCTATTTCTTTTAGCTTCACTTTTTATTTCTACTTTTTCTTTTTATTCTTTCTTTCGCACTATATAAGAAAGTAGAAGAAAAAAGTATAAAATTTGAAGAAACGCTTATAGCGTTTCTTCAAATTTTATACTTTTTTCTTAGCCTTTCTTTATTTTTTTAAAGTTTTTTTTTTCTATTTTTCTAGTTTCTGGAAATCTTTCCCCCTACAATTTTTAGTGAAAATATTTCTTAAGGGGAGGGTACACCGATATTTTTAACTAATATCAAGAAAATGTTTAAAATATTCGACAAAATTATTTTTCAGGTATTTTTTTGTGAGTAAATTCAATGGTAATAGAATAAAAATCGTTGAGAAAAAAATTTGAACCCTTTTTGAATTTTTTTTTTCTTAAAAATTTGTAGATTTTAAAATCCATGCGTAATTTTGTTGAAAATATGCTTTTGAATCAACAAAAAAATTTCTAAATGAAAAAATTTTTTATTAAATATTTATTTAGAAATAAAAAAAAATTCTTATTATATTTTTGAAGCAATTTTTTAAAAGATGTTTTTGCTTTCAAGCTGAAAATACTAAAAAAAATAATTAATCAGTATTTTTAAATATGAAAATACGTTTGTTTATTTTTCTAACTAATTACAGATCATAATTTTTTAATATAATTATTTTAGTTTTTCTCTATTCTCCTCATTTTTTTAATTTTGTTTATTTTTCAAATATTTTTTCTTTTTTTGAGTTTTTTGTATATTTTTCTTTTTACTCTTTTCTTAGTTTTCTTCTATTTTCCTACATTTTCTTTCTTCTTTTTGATTTTTCATACTTTTTTTTTACTATTTATTATTTTTTTTTAATTTTTCTCAATTTTTCTAAATTTGATTACTTTTTCGTTTTGTTCTTTATTTTTCTGCTTTTTTCCTAATTCTTCTATTTTTAACTTAAAATTTTTTTAATTCCCCTAATTTTTCTTTATTTCTTCTTTTTCTTAGTTTTTCTCTATTCTCCTCATTTCTTTGATTTCTTTTTTCTTAAATTTTGTTTATTTTTCAAATATTTTTTCTTTTTCTGAGTTTTTTGTATATTTTTTTTTCTTTTTACTCTTTTCTTAGTTTTCTTCTATTTTCCTACTTTTTCTTTCTTCTTTTTGATTTTTCAGATTTTTTCTTTCTTAAATTTTTCTCCATTTTTCTAAATTTGATTATTTTTTCTTTTTGTTTTCGATTGTTTTTTATTTTTCTGCTTTTTTCCTAATTCTTCTATTTTTTACTTAACTTTTTTTTAATTCTAAAAATGAAATTTTTCTAATCTCATTTTTCTTAATTTCTTCTTTTTTTTAGTTTTTTTTTTATTTAGTTATTTTCTATTTTAAATTTTTTTTTAGAAAACTGTTTTTCATAGTTTTTCTATTATTTTTTAATTTTTTTCTTTTTCTGAATTTTTGTAAGTTTTCTTCATTTTTTCTATTTTTCTTAGTTTTTCTCTTTTCTTTTAGTTTTTCATAGTTTTTCACTATTCTTTTAATTTTTTTTATTTGTCTCCATTTTTCTATCTTTTCTTCATTTTTTCCCTTTGTTTTTAATTTTTATCTATTTTTCTATTTTATTTCTACTTATTTCCAAATTTTTATTTTTTCTATTTTTCTAGTTATTCTTTATTTTTTTAAATTTTTTCTTATAGTTTCTCTCCTTTTTTTTCTTTTTCTTCTTTTTCTTCTTTTTCTTTCCAAAAATTTTTCCCTAATCTTTTCCTGTTTTTCTACTTTTTCTGGATTTTAAAATTTTTGTACTCTTTTTTCTTTAATTTTGTTTTTTCCTATTTCTATATATTCCCCTTAAAAAAATGCAAAAAAAATATATTTGAAGTAAATAAATGGATTTAAACTTAGTAAATAAAAAAATTAATTTATAAGGAAAATAATAAATGGAAAATTTCCATTTTTATTATTTTCCCTTTATATATTTCCTTCTTACAATTTCTATAGTTCATGTCTACATTTTCTTCTTTTCCTATTATTTTTAGTTCTTCTTTATATATTTCTTCTATTTTTTCTCTAGTTTTTTTCTAGTTTTCTTTAATTTTTCTCTATTTTCTCAATTTTTTTTGTCTTTTTGTTTATTTCTCAGTTTTTTTTTTTACTTTTTCTCTAATTTCTATATTTTTATTTACTTACAAACAGGAGAATTTTTTCCAACTCTAAATTAAATTTTCTTTTATTTATTAAATCAATTTTTAAAATAAATGTTTGTTTTTACCTGGACATAGCAACGACAGACGAAACTGCATGGTACATCGTCTGCTTTCCTCTTTTTTTGTTAGTGAAAATTTAAAATAATTTGTTAGTAATCGTGACAATTAATTATTTATTAGTAAAATTTCTATAAACAGGTAAAAATTCTATAAAAAAAATATCAAAACACTAAAAAACATATCTTAATTGAACAATATTTTTAATACAAGATTTCCCAAAGATTTCTCAAATTAAAAAAAAATCGAAAAAATTTAATACTCTCTTAAAAATATACTACAAAAAAAAAAAACTTAAAATAAGATTTTCTTTTTTACAGCTCAATATAAAGTCGAAATAAAAATAAAATTGACCATAATTTGGTTAATAATCAAATTAAGTTCTTAATACATTTTTTTTTCATTTTGGCTTTTACGATCTCTCTTTTGTCTCGAGGATATTTTTTCTTCGTATTTTTTTTTCATTAGAAATTAAAAAAAAAATGAAGAAAGAAAATTTTTCAAAAGAAAAAATTAAATTATTTTCTCCACTGGGAATGTTACTAAATAGAGAGAAAGAGAGGGGGGTAAAGGGAGTAATAAATGATAAAAAAAAGAAGAAGGACTCACTTTTCTGTAGGCGGTGGTGTTGTGGGTGAGCTTGTCTTCAAACTTTTGAACGCTTTCAGCCATTTGTGCTTAGTACTTCCTGTCGAGCCATTAGACATTTTCCGGCTGCTCACCCCATCAGGCTGCACAGCTTCTCCACCTCCAAAAAGCTCTTTCTGCAAAATATATTATACACTCGTTATATGAATTATAAATTTTTTATTGATCCAATATATAAGAAACGCCCTCTCCCTCCCTTTATTTTATGGAATGACTGAGCACATTGTATTGAGATTAAATCAACTGTATAAATATTTTATAATTGACATCAATTGTCCTCTTTTTATTGCTTCACGCTATTTATTCCACGAAGTATTCTTTTTTTATTACATTATTTTAATTTTATTATTCTTATTTTTTACTGTGATGTTTTTTATTTTTATTCTTTTTTTCTTTCTAAATTTATTTTCTCCCCTTGCTTTTATTTTCTACTTATTTATTTTTCTTTTCTATTCTCTATTTTTATTTTACATTCTTTATTTTTATTACTTCTAATTTTAATCTTTACTTTCTATGTTTTATCTTCATTTTCTATATTTTTTTTTCTTTTTATTTTCTACTTTTTAATTTTTATTTTCTATTCTTAATCGTTACTTTCTACTTTTTATCATCATTTTCTATATTTTTTTCTTTTTATTTTCACTTTTTTCTTTTTATTTTATATTGTTATCTTTTTTTCTACCTAATATTTTTGTTTTTATTTTCACTTTTTTTATTTTTATTATCTATTATTTTTATTTTCTACTATTTTTATTTCCTATTAAATTATCTTTATTTCCTACTTTTTTCTTTATTTTCTAACAATTTCCAGTTTTAATCTTCTTTTTCTATTTTTTGTTCTTATTTTCAACTCTTTTATTTTTATTTGTTACTATTTTTATTTCCTACTTATTTATCATTATTTTCTACTTTTTTCTCTGTATTTTCTACTTTTTATCTTAATTTTCTATATATTTTTCCTCTTTATTTTCTACTTTTTTATTTTATATTTTTATGTTCTTTTTCTACCTACTAGTTTTGTTTTTATTTTCACCTTTTTTTTTATTTTTATTATCTATTTTTTTTATTTTCTACTATTTTTATTTCTTATTAAATTATCCTTATTTCATTATTTTTAACCTTTTTTTTTAATAATTTCTAGTTTTAATCTACTTTTTTTATCTGGATTTTCTACTTATTTATCTTTATTTGATACTTTTTACATTTTCTAATTTCTAGTTTTAATTTTATTTTTTTACTTTTTGTTCTTATTTTTAACTCTTATTTTTATTTTCTATTTTTAATCTTTACTTTCTACTTTTTATCTTCATTTTCTATATTTTTTTCTTTTTATTTTCTACTTTTTTATTTTTATTTTTTTACTATTTTTATTACCTACTTAATTATCATTATTTTCTACTTTTCATCTAGATTTTCTACTTTTTTATCTTTATTTTCCAATTTCTGGTTTTAATTTTCCTTTTCTTCTTTTTTTTATTTATTTCCAACTCTTTTATTTTTATTTTCTACTTTTTTATCTTAATTTTCTACTTTCTTGCCTAGATTTTCTACTTTTTATTCTTCAGTTTCTTATTTTTTCTCTCTATTTACATATAAATACGAAATTTGCCCTTTTATTTATTTTTTGTTTACATGATTTTCCTTTTATTATTACTTCTTTTATTTTATTTATTAATATTATTGTTTTTATGTTTCAGTGATTAAAACTTAGTCTCGTGGTTGAAACATTGGATTGATACTTCGAGCACTTCTCACGTTCGATTCCCGGTGACGATGAATTTTGGTGAGTTTTTCATTTTTATTTTTTAAATATTTTTAAATTTTTTCTTAATTATTTTCATTTTAGCAAATTTATGGAATTCATTCGTTTGTACATAAGTAATTTATTCTTGTTTATTTTTATACATTTTATAAAAAAATACTGAAATTAAATTGAAAGAAGATTAAAATAGTAAAATTAAATTAAAATAATTAAAATAATTTTTTGTAGTAATTTTTTTAAAATTATATTATGACTTAACAATTAACATTAAATTAAAATAGTAAAATTGAATTAAAATAGAAAAGTAAAAAATAATGTATTTTCATTTTTAATTTATAATATACAATTATTAATTATAATTTATTTTTATTTAATTTTACAATTTTAATTTTATTTAGATTTATTTTTACTATTTTAATTTTATTTGAATTTAATTGATAAATTTAATTTTATATTTTACTATTTTTTGCTGTAATTTATCACTTTTAATTACTTTTTGCCTTTTTATTGTTAGGAATAAGTAGATTTTAGGGAAGAGGTGCATTTTTTTTTTTTGTTTGAGTACTTTTCAAGTTTAAAATATTTTTGAAGTTTTTTTTATTTTTTTTTTTTTATTTTTTGGAGGGAAACAAAGAATTTAGAAAATAAAAAAATGTCTGTTTTGTTTGAATACTTTTCTACTTTTAAAATATTTTTTGAGTAAATTAATTTTTTTTAGTGTTGGAAAAAATATAGAAGAAAATAGAAGAAAAAGTTTTTTTTTTATTTACAAAATAAGAATCAATCCTTTTTTTCATAGAAGAAAAAATATTTTTTTGATTGAATTTTGAATATAATTTTTTAATTTTAAATATTTTTGGAGTCTTTTTTTATTTTTTTTTTTGGAGGAAAACACAAACAATTTAAAAGATAAATAAAATTTCTTTTATACTTATATCTACTTTTGAATATTTATGAAGTGATTTATTTTTCTCTTTTATTCTTTTCGAGGAAAAATTAGAATTTGTGGAATAAAACATATTTTTCCTTTTCTGAATATTTTTCTAGTTTTGCATATTTTATGGACAAATTATTTCTTATTTTTTTATTTTTGCTAGAGAAATTATGAACAAACTATAAATTGATATTTAAATAATGGTTTTATCATTCGGTCGTCAGAATATTAAAAAAAAATATAAATTGATATAATTATAAAATATTTTTAAATTTATATACCTAAGAATTTTTTATTTTTTAAAAATATTTTTTAAATATTTTTTAAATATTTTTTTTATATTAATAAATAATTAAATTGTAAAGTAAATAAATTTAAAGAATTCTTTTTCTTCGAATCAAACACTCGTTCTTTTTTCGATGTCTGTCTCTCAGAAGAAAAAATTTTTTTTTTTTTGATAAAATAAACGAATTTAAACGAATGTCACGAAACTTGGAGGCAAGAATATAGTTTATATATATAGAGAGATGATATAAAAAAAGTATCATTTTTCGAAATAAAATATTCAAGGATCAAGTCCTTAAATCCACTCTAAAGAAAATATCAGACTTTCACAATGTCAACCCACATTTCTTGTCAAAGAACGCGACTGTTTACTCCTTTTCTTGGCTTTTCTCTCGTCACTTTCAAGGGATCGACTCTTTCGGATTCCCCGAACAATCATATTGAGAATTTAACTTCTATATATATATACGAAAGATCAAGAGAAACTTTTTTTCTTTTTTATTTATTTTCTTTCCTTTTTTTTATATTTGGGGATGAAAAATTAATTCACAATACACGTTTTCTGTGGGGAATTTTTTTTTTTTTTATAAACTTTTTTTACTTTTATGGTTTAAATCTGTAAATTTATTTTCCCATTTTTTTAGGTACTTTTTTCTGAAATGAATTTTTAAACTATATTTTCTTGTTGAAATTAGTTTTTTTTTGTGACTTTATTTTCTTTTCTTTTTTTTTTAATAAAAGTAATAAAATTTAGAAAAGTATTTTTTTATATATATGAGGGAAAATTTTCTTATGAGGAAAGACAATTTTTGACTTTATTTTCTTTTCAAAATGGAAAATTTATAAATTTATAAATTTATCCTCATAAAAAAAAGAAAATTTTTATGAAAAAAAGCGAATTTTTGATTTTTTAAAACATTTTTTTGTGAAAATGGAAAAGAGAAAAATTTACAAATTTAATTTTTTATAAAAGGGAAAATTAATATTTTAAAAATATGAAAACTAATTTTTGTCTTTGTTTTTTTTGGAAAACTTGCTTTTTACTTTTATTTATATTCTTGAAAATATTTTTAACTTTATTTTATGAAATACAGAAAATTTTATTTGTTATATTTTATTAACTTCTTTATTTATTAATTTTATTCAAAAAAAAACTTTGATAACAAGTTATTTTTAAACGAAACTTTTAAATTTTTTCTTATTCAAATTTTTTTTTTCAGAAAAGAGATTTTTTAAAAAAGTTTTCCCTTTTGGAAAGAAATTTTTCGAAGTATTTTTTATATCCGTTTGCAAAGAGGAAAAACGTAGGATGTACACTATTAGTTTTAACGTTTTCCTTTAAATTACGCGAAGAACAATTGCGAGGGAAATTTAAAGATCAGTTTTTTTTTTTATTTTACTGATAAATGTAAATTGAAATCGAGATCTGAGGGAATCGAAGAACGCGTTTATACTGAAACAATTCTGGTTAGTGAATAAGAGACCTTTAAAGCATGAAGCCAATGTAATTTTAATAGTTAATTGGATATAAGAACGCGGTCGACTCGGCGAAATCGTACCAACAAATGGATTGATAGAATTTATTTATTTCGAAATTTGTGCATTTATATATACAATATTTTTCCAGAATTGTAGAAATTTTGTTTTTAAGCTCCTTTCAGAGAAATTTGAAAGAAAACATTATTTTTCCACTTCTTTTTCGATGAGAATTTCCAATTGCAACTTAATCAGAAAGTTAGGAACAAAAAAAAAAAAAAATTGAAATCATATAAAAATTAAAATTTTCAAAAATTTGAAATTTAGTAACTTATAATAATTAAAACTTGTTACTTTGTTACTATAACTTCTTAAAAAATCATTTTCATCATTTTATTTATTTCTAGAATTTTCAACTAAAATTCTTCAATTTTTTCTTAATAATTTTTGAAAAAGTTCTTTGAGAATTTTCAAATTCTTTTGTTTAAAATTTAATTTTTATGAAATTTCGATTATTATGACATTCCTCGATTAAATATATTAGAAATTAAAAATTTTAAATAATTAAAAAAAAATTCCATTAAATTTTAAAAAAAAAATTAATTCTACAGAATTGTTAGTTAAAAGTATGAAAAGTTCAAATTTTCAAAGATTTTAAT